CTTTAATGTACGTTATTTTAACGCGTAATGTAATTTCATTGTTATATTATATTACTAGAATTTATGATAATTCGTTATTCTGTGTTATGGTGAGTATCTGCAGAGGTAAAGCTWTATAGTTATTCAAATAATTATCTACTAATTACCTATTGGCGATAATAATGTCATTTTAAAGAATCATAAAAAAGTTATCCGTCGTGGGACGCCTGGCAGATGTGAAACATCGAAATTATTTTGTATAAAGAATATGCGTATAAATTTAAAGTATTGTTCATTAGAGAAAATAAGCATGACAGAATTAAAAATAAAGTATTCAGATTATTTTAAGCAAAAATATTCTTTATTATAAGAGTGCAATAAATGTTTCGCCCGTCGAGTGTTTCGCACGTAAGCGAGTGGCGACGTCGCCACGCTAATAGCCGGCCTCACCCGTCGCATTACGTAGGTAGATGTTTGAATGTTTCACATCAATGTAAGTGATGATATATTATTAAAATCATAGACCTTACGTTATACTCTTAGACGGATCATGGTAGTTTCCATGGTGTACTTCGTTAACACTTCTGCGCATAAGTGACCACACCAGTCTTAGCGCACAGTTAAAAACAAAAACAAACAGCGTAAATACATAATTATCATGTTATATCATATTTGACGAATATTTTTTATAAGTTTCAAACGAATTGTAATAAAAGTCATAGATAAACTTATATGAAAAATTACTAGTAACTTTTTGAAATCCGAAATAGATAGATTYGTAATGGACCTCTCCAAGGTTGACTAATAAAAAATAAATAWAATATAATATATACCTACCTAACTAATAAAAAAAAGTAAAAATAAAAGTGATGAATATAGTAAAATATAGTCATATTTAACTATATTCGTCACTTTGACAACCAATTGTATTATAATTAGTTGAATTTTTATAATAACTATCTTTTGATGGACGGTGGATTATAATCATAATAAAACCTGTGTAATATGGAAACAGTTGGGATTGGATATTTTTTCCATT